AGGCTCTAAGGACTAATGTTTATTATTTGTGATAGACAAACATGTCACAAGTATCTACAAGTAATGCATTTGGGGACGGGGGGTGGGGGGGGAGGGTTGTGTGCCTATATGGCTGGAACATACCACTGAGGCAGAATAAAAGAATAGCTGATAATGTCTAAAAGGGTTGGCAGGGGCAAAGGGCAGCCGAGGACCCAGTAAGTTAGGTGCAGCTTTCAAGGATGGGAAGAGAGCCCATGAATCAAAGAAAAATAGGACAAGCAGCTCTGAGCTTGCCAGAAAGAGAGGGGAAAAAACCCAAACTACTCCTTGAACAGCAGTGGCTATTTTAAGGCTGCCTAATCTACTGACCTGAAATGAGCAAGCTGAGCCAAAAACTGGTAGGAGGCCATTAACGGGGCTTCCCAGGACCCACAGAGAAGACTTAAAATCCTACTCCTAGTTATTCTCAAAGTATGTGAATGGGGAACGGAAAAGAGCCACTTTTAAGTTCTTTAATGTAATCTCCCTGTTTAGGTGTCCTTTTCCCAGAAAGGAAAGTACTAATGTTCACAAGACAATGTGACCTAAAAATCAGGTTACAAATGAGGTCTCTGATCAGCCAGCCTCTGGTTCAGCATACTACCAGTAAATGTGGATCTCAATTTCAGCCCAGTGAATTATGACCTTATGCATAAAACATACACTCTAATGTGCAAAATACTCAGATTTACACATATCTTGAGAATTGCATGACCAAATACCCCAATCTGAAAAATCTCATAGTTTGTCATTCTTTTGAGTAAAACATAGTTATTTCATGAAAAAAAGAAGCTAGTTCAGCTCAACTGCCTAACTGCTTTTCATCCAGACTACCATGATACGTTGATGTGCAGCACAAGGGCTTTGTATGTACTTCCGATTTTGTCACACACAATATTAAAAAGACGTATTTTCAAAGGTCAAGTTTAAATAAGATTAATAATTCTTACTACTTTAATGAAGACATTCTTAAGTGAAACTGGCTTTCTTTTTAAAGTGCAAGCATATGACAGTGAATAATACAATGACTATTTGTACAGCTTGGTGCCAGTTCTTTGATTCACGCTAAGGCGTCAGCAGTTTTAAACACACCATCGCTCCTGTACCCTCAGTATAAACGCCACTTAGTATTATTAGTGTTACTTTGAAAATAGTCTTGACCTTGCGATCATGAAAACAGATCTCAGAAAAGGGGCTACAAATCCTGAGATAAGTGCTTCAGGAGGTGCTGTAAGATAGCATAACACATTTGAGAGTCAGAAGACCTGAATCCAGTCACTGTAGCTCATCAGGTGGTTGTCTTATATAAACCTCAGGACCTTGCCAAGCCAATTTCTTCACAGATACAACTGGATTATGACCCATTTTCACAGAGTGGTTCTGACAAACTAGATGTTACTGTGACAGCTCCTTATGTGCCCTACAGCCCTGTGTTATTTCTTACAGACTGATGAAGAGAAGAGACAGGGGCTACCTGTAGTGATGCCAGTGTTTGACCGGAATACCTGTAGCATCCCCAAGTCCCAGATCTCCTTTATTGACTACTTCATAACAGACATGTTTGATGCTTGGGATGGTAAGACAGTTCCTGTTTTGTTACCCACAAACAGAATATTTTGCTATACTTTATGATGGTTACCTTTAATGACAGAGGCTGGGCCTAAAGGTGTAAATGAAATGTAACTTAAAAGAAAAAGTCAGCTGCTTGTGGCCAGGTGTGCTGGGGGTGCATGAACACTTTGTGTGTCCTCAGCACAAACCATGTGTATGGAAGACTCAGTGGATGTTTGGTAACTGGATAAACAGGTGTTCAACTCTTCCAAGGACATGTTTCCAAAGCTTACAGGAGTTTTATTCTGTCATTGGAGGAAATTCTAGAGAGAACATAAAATATACTAAGTCTACTCTGAATCACAGATTCTTTTCATAATATCAGTTGATAAACAGCTTTTCATTTTTTTGAGATCCTTTTTAACTTTTGAATTTAATTTTTATTTTACATCGGAGTATAGTTGATTTACAATGTTGGGTTACTTTCAGGTGTACAGCTAAGTGATTCAGTTATACATATACATATATCCATTCTTTTTCAGATCCTTTTCCCATATAGGTTATTACAGAACATTGAGTAGAGTTCCTTGTGCTATACAGTAGATTCTTGTTGATTATCTATTTAGTGTATATATGTTAACCCCAAACTCCTAATTTGTCCCTCCCCCTGTGTTTCCCCTTTGGTAACCATAAATTTGTTTTCAAAGTCTGTGAGTCTATTTCTGTTTTGTAAATAAGTTGAATTGTATCCTTTTTTTCAGATTCCACATATAAGTGATATCATATGATATTTGTCTTTCTCTTTCTGACGTACTTCACTTAGTATGATAATCTCTAGGTCCATCCATGTTGCTGAAAATGGTATTATCTCACTCTTTTTCATGGCTGAGTAATACTCCATTGTATATGTGTGTGTATATACATATACACACACACCACATCTTCTTCATCCATTCATCTGTCAAGGGACATTTAGGTTGCTTCCATGTCTTGGCTACTGTAAAGAGTGCTGCAGTGAACATTGGGGTGCATGTATCTTTTTGAATTACAGTCTTCTCTGGGTATACGCCTAAGAGTGGGATTGCTGGGTCATATGGTAGCTCTATTTTTAGTTTTTTAAGGAACCTCCATACCGTTTTCCATAGTGGCTGCACCAATTTACATTCACACCAACAGTGTAGGAGGGTTCCCTTTTCTCCACACCCTCTCCAGCATTTATTTGTAGACTTTTTAATGATGGCCATTCTGACTGGTTTGAGGTGATACCTCATTGTGGTTTTGATTTGCATTTCTCATTGAGTGACGTTGAACATCTTTTCATGTGCTTTTGGCCATCCGTATGTCTTCTTTGGAGAAATGTCTATTTAGATCTTCTGCCTGTTTTTTGATTTTTTTTTTTTTTTTGATACAGAGCTGCATGAACTGTTCGTATATTTTGGAGATTAATCCCTTGTTGGTTGCTTCATTTGCAAATATTTTCTCCCATTCTGTGGGTTGTACTTTCATTTTGTCTATGGTTTCCTTTGCTGTGCGAAAGCTTTTAAGTTTAATTAGGTCCCATTTGTTTATTTTTGTTTTCATTTTCATTACTCTAGGTACAAGGTGGATCCAAAAAGATACTGCTGTGATTTATGGTGAAGAGTGTCCTGCCTATGTTTTCCTCTAAGAGTTTTATAGTAGCCAGCCTTACATTTAGGTCTTCAATCCATTTTGAGTTTATTTTTGTGTATGGTGTTACAGAATGTTCTAGTTTCATTCTTTAACATGTAGTTGGCCAGTTTCCCCAGCACCACTTATTGAAGAGACTATCTTTTCTCCATTGTATATTCTTGCTTCCTTTGTCGTAGATTAATTGACCATAGATGCATGGGTTTATTTCTGGGCTTTCTGTCCTGTTCCATTGATCTATACTTCTGTTTTTGTGCCAGTACCATACCACTTTGATTACTGTAGCTTTGAAGTATAGTCTGAAGCCAGGGAGCCTGATTTTCCAGCTCTGATTTTCTTCCTCAGGATTGCTTTAGCTATTCAGGGTATTTTGTGTTTCCTTACAAATTAAAAAAATTTTCATTCTAGTTCTGTGAAAAATGTCATCGGTATCTTGATAGGGATTGCACTGAATCTGTAGATTGCCTTGGGTAGTATAGTCATTTTCACAATATTTATTCTTCCAATCCAAGAACATGGTATCCTTCCATGTGTTTGTGTCATCCTTGATTTCTTTCATCAACATCTTATAGTTTTCAGGGTACAGGTTTTTTGCCTCCTTAGGTAGGTTTATTCCAAGGTATTTTATTCTTTTTGATGTGATGGTAAATGGGATTGTTTCTTTAATTTCTCTTTCTGATCTTTTGTTGTTATCAATTTTTAGTTAAAAGGACCTGTTCATATTTCAGAAACCAGTGTTTAGTAACTCATCCTTCTCATGCTTCTGTGTTCACGTTAGGCCTAACCTAGGGTACCTCTCCTCCAATTGTGATCCCAAATTTGTCCCACAGAGCCCCAACCTTATAAATGCTCCTGGAATCTAATTTAACAGGCTTCTTTTTATTCTCTTATATCCTTGCAGCCTTTGCACACCTGCCAACCCTGATGCAACATTTGGCCGATAACTACAAACACTGGAAGACGTTAGATGACCTAAAGTGCAAAAGTCTGAGGCTTCCATCTGACAGCTAAAGCCAAGACAGAGAAGGTGACCTCTTGATCTACAAAGGGCACTGTGAATCACAGTAGTGTAAACAAGAGGCTTTCCTTCATAATGAAAATGACAGGTGTAGGTTAAGGAGCTAATGTTTAATATCTGACTTTTAATCATTCAACTTCCCAAATTTCATTTTTAGAAAATTATGTTCCATGAAGAAAAATATATGTTCTTTTGAACAATCACTTAGTGACAGAACAAACACATGGCAAAATCCTTTGCCCTGCTGTTATCCTGTCTGCCCTCATCAAACCCTGCAGCTGATTCACTGTAACTAGCAGGAGACATGCAGCAAAGACTTGGTGCCCACGAGCCCACCATCTGTGGATGATGGACCATGTAGCTTAGCTAGTGGTTTAGCTCATCTTTTACCATGAAAGTCACCATCACTGTTTAGCTTGACTATTTTCCTCAAGAGCATCAATCTAAAAGGTTCATAAGAATATCTAAGAAAAAAAACCCATATAAAGTGAGCAAAACAACTAGGACCAAACTGCTGATAAACTAGTTAGCTTCAGAGCCTCCATGGCTAGGTGGTTCTGATCAATGGTGTAACACCCAAGTTAGAACACAGTCTGTCTTGGCCTGGTGAGTGCCTTCTCTAGACTGGTATCAGCAGCCTGTGTAGTCCTCTCTCCTACAAAAGGGATTCATCTTAACAGAAAGCCAACCATAATGGGGAAGGAAGTGACATCTTGTCTGTGGGGAATCCAAGAGCTTTTTCCCTTTATTTCTGGTTTACAGAGGCAGTTACAAGGCACTATAGTAGGTATTATATACAAGCCATTAATCTGAATGCCCTGGACAAGCTTTTTTTTAAAAAGAAAATTTATATACATTTGCTGTTTAAAATTTTTATTAAAGCAATCTAAATTTTCAGGGTTTAAGTCCATGGAGTACGTTGTGCCGAGTACTGAGGAGACAGAGGAAGTTTCAAGGTTCAGATGTTTTTAACCTATCTATGTTTAAGATCATGCCATTTTGCTTTAATGATGAAAAAAAGATTGCAAGGTGTGTAAATATATCAAAAAATAGCATATGGGGAAGCAGTAAATACTATTTTAAGCTATTAATTGTATGCTAAAAGCTTCTAAAGCACAAGTGCATATTTTTATACAGCTCTTTTCACAACTTTCTGTGGTCTACATGAAGTCAGACTTGAGATTTTCTTTTCTCTTTTACCAGCCAACCCTTCTCTATGTATTATAAATTAGAGATTCTGTAAACAATATCTTTGTTTTTCTTTCAAATTCTCTGTACTTCATGCTGCATTTCTAAGAGGTATAAACAAACAGAGACTAAATTAACTGAACCAGTAGTTAGTTACTTTTTTCAAATGAAAATTGGAATGCAGAACACATGGAACTAGTACATGGGGGCAAAAATTACTTATCACTACAAAACATGCCAATGTTTTTTTCTATGTTTTGTACCAACAAATGGAAACATATATGACAATTCCATGCAAAGAAATGTACCTAAATTATTTTTGTTAGATGGTAAGAGAACTTGCTTGGTCAGGACAGCAGCTAGCTTTGTATTGTAATGCTGCACTAAGTAAATGTGATGAAAATGTTTTTGTGAAGTACTTGTAACTAAATTCCTACAGCCATTTTTCATTCCTAACAGCTGTTTTTATTTTACCTCTTTGGCCTAAATTTTTCATAATTTCAATATTTCGGTTTAGTGTTATTTCATGAGTCACACGCTTTGTTTTCAGAACACATTAAATTCAGGATGTCAGAATCCCATTTTAAGGAGCTAAATAATTTGCCTAGGCTTCAGAAGCTTGCCTGAAGCAACGACAATCTTTTCTTGACCATCTCGCTTTTGGTTCCATTTGGTAAGTGACATTCATCAGATGTCTGACATTTTTCTATGTGAATGTTTGTTAGAACTGACTCAGTATAATTTCAGATTAATTTCATATTAACACTGCCAGGTACTAAAGCTTTAGCATAGCTCTGCTCTTTATCAGTGTAATCTACTATGGTGTAATCTTCTACTGAGTTGCTAACTAAATAGTGCATTCCTCCGAATAGTCTTTCAGATGGTATGTGTATCAGATGAGTGAGTATAAACTATTATAATTGTCTCTCATACTGAGCGTAAGTCTGTGTTGAGGGGAACCCTATTAATTTAGGAAAATATAACATGATCTAAACTAGAGAGAAGTCACATTACTACTACTACTTAACCAGAAGTTAGTTATAAAACACTGTTACCGGGACCAGAATAACCCTATAATTTAAGTAGGCTAGTCTTTACTTCCAATTTAAGATTTTAAAATATGCTTACCTTCAGAGTTAGGACTGGTTTGTCTTGTGGACAAAGAACAAGCCTCATCTATTAATGAGAACGCACTCAACTTGAGAAAGATAAATACAATGTCCCTCAAGTTTAGGCTCTTGATTGTGTTATGTGAGTAAGCCAGAGAATGAGGTAATAAGGATATTTTTAAATAAAAATGACAAGGCCCACAGCATAGTATTACTTCCGGTGTTGCAAATATAACAGCACTGAAAGCTAAGATAGGGAAATGGAAAAAATGCACATAATATTTATCGACCTCAGTTATAGTTGTATTCTTCTAATTTGAAAGTTCAACTTTTTGCAGCACTCTGCATACAACTAGTAAGCAGCCATCAAGTCTGAGTCCCTGCTAGATTTTCCCATCTCACTGTTTTACTCCATCTCTGACCTTAGGGCACTCATGAAAGCAAAAACCATCAAGTTCCCGTGAATGGGTTGGAGGTTTTCCTCTAGATTTTAATAACAGAGGGACTCACAGTGGTACTTTCATCAGTATTATTTGCTCCCCCAACTCACCTGTGGTTTGTATCATTCACGTGAATAGATTACTATTACATAATACTAATCCAGAACAAATTAGGGGAAAAAGCAGTTAAGAATCTATGAATTCCTTTTATAATTCATTGAATATCTTATACAATTCAAGAAAACTTTAAAACTCATGACCTAATAGTAGAATCTCCAAAGAAAAAGCTAGCTAGTAATAAGAGAAAGTCTATCTATGGAAGAAAATTAAAAGCCTAAAAATGACTCTGATCAATAATCTGATGCACTCAGCCCAAAATGCATGTCTGCCTGGTTTAGGAATCCTACCCACGTTCCAATTTCAGGATAAAAGATTAGCAGTGCCTCAGTATGACTGCTCAGATATGTATGCCACGATAACAACAATCTGTCCGCTAAGAGGCAGTGCTAATTTTTCTATTCACATTCTTCTATTATATAATGGAGGTTACATAAATTTTATTATATTTCTCCATAAAGGTATTTTCATTGTGAATTAAAACAGAAACAATGACTATGAACATTATCTGGTTTTGCTCAAGGGGTAATCATACAACCCTTCTCTCTCATTCCAGTCATTTTCAATTTCTGTTTTGTTTACTGATGCTAATGAGAATTGAGCTAACTAACTGGAAGGCCTTACCTGACTGGGCTTCAGCTTCCTTATTTATAACATTATGGCACTGGTCTGGCATAGATGACCAGAGCTCTTCCAGACTTTGTAGGTAGTTGAGGAAACAACAACTGTCAAAGGTAAAACTAGTGACAACAATTTACAAAGATTCCATTAGGGTGTGTGTGATGAAAAAATAAATCCAGAAAGTGTTCTTTGAGAAGGATTAGTCCTCTGACACATCAGCCACCTGGTGTTTACTTCAATACGATTCTTTCATCAGCAGTTTAAGATTAACTAACTCCACAATTAAACCCACCCATTTTTTAATGTATGGAACACTTTTTAATTTTTATTCTTTAGTACCAAAAGGGAGAAAGAGTGCTCTAAGGCTGATGGGGTGATGAAGATGATTAAATCTCAGTGGTCTGCAAGAAACTCATAAGTGATGCCTGTCTCAAGCATTTCATATTTGAGCCAATGGTAAGATGAATCAGGCACTTTGAAAACACTGTAACTTTACTGATCTAGCTCTCCTCATCTCTGGCATATATGAGGGGCTGCTGCTGGTCTGTTACCAAGAATCTAGTCAATAGCTGTTCAGGCTAGGGGGAAAAAATACACCCTAATAAGATTCCTCCTGATTTGTGTTTATAGGGATTTTAGTAGCTAGAATTTTTTTGAAAAATGATTTAAACAAATTAGTTGGCACCAAAAAAAAAAGCTGTAGTTAAAACAGTGAGAGATTCAGGTTTGCTTCATATTTAGAATACTGAGAGTTACTAAAGACCAGGGGGATTTGTAGGAGAAAGGCTATATTTAAATTTATCACAAGAATTCTTAAACAGGCTCTAAAGAAAACCAAAGAATAAAAAATACTGTTAGTTCTATTTCTACCTCCTCCCAGGGTCTAGGTTCAAATTAAGAAGCTTAAAACACAGCACTCACCACTTCAATAGCAGCACAAGGTACAATTATTATGGAATCTTCATTTCCTACAGGGAGGCATCAGTTTTCTGGATATCTCAAGGTTTAAGTTCAAGATATGCTACATCCTACCTATTTACTCTTCACCGGATTTTTCATTTTTCTCCCAAAATATTGTCTATAATTATCATGTATATTTATTTCCAAAAAAGTAGGTTCCTTGAATAAATCTTTAAAAGAATGACAGGTATAGTTAAAATACTAACTTTGGAGAACAAAGGTATTTCAAAATCCAAAAAGGCTAAATGAAAGAAATTACATGTACTATTTAAAAAATCTAATCCCTTTTGATGAATAAAAATTTAGTTAGAGGCAATATAATTACATTAGAGAGTGAGAGGTTCCAAGTACTCTTCTCCTCATTAAACATAAACTCCCGTAATTTCTGGTGCAGAGTTTTTTCAAAGCATAAAAATTATCTCTGTGAGGACACTGTGGTATAATTTAATTCTGCTTCAACAGGTATATATGTGATGAACTCTGAAAACTTCACTTTCTGAAAATTCACTGCTGAAATTAGACCCATTCCTTCAATGGTTTCAGGTAACTGTTATGTGAAAAGTCAAATGAAAAACTTGTGCTATATTCTTTGGTGAAAGTACTAATACCTGAGAAGCAACTTGTTGCTGGTTTGCAGCCCCAGAAAAAAGAATTCAAACAATTGGAATTTTACGGAGTAACAAGAAAAAAAATTACAAAATTTAAGTGATTAATATGGTAATGGTTTTCAGAGTATTACCCCTATATTTGCTGTTCAAGGTTCACGCACAGGTGTTCAAATTCCTTAAACTAGACAGCAAGATATAAGTCACCATTCTCCTCTAATTTTTGAAATAACTTTAAGCTGCGCAATCCAGATTCTCGTTCTCCATTTTTCCACAAAATAATGAGATGATCAGCAGAACACGTCACTAGTCCATGATCTTCAAAGTACAGAAACATCTGTAAAAAAAATTTTTACTTACTGATTATAGGAACTTCAAGGAGAAGAGGCTAATACTAACTAGATTAAGACAGGTGCTTGTTAAAATGTGTACCTTGGAGACTTCTTTGGATCTGACTGTAAAACTCCGTATCTTTCATGAGAAATGTTATTTTTAAGTGTGAGTGATAATCACATACAAATATACAAATGCTAGACTAGTAAATACTACTCAACTACAGAACTATAAATAACAGCTATTTTTGTAAAGTACATGAAGTCCCAAAGTATCGTCTAAATTTTACAATTATCTAATTCCTCAAGTATTGGTTTTAAGATTTTTTGTCAGAAGTCCCAACAAACCTGCTTTACTTAATCATTTTTACTGGCCTTCTTATTTATGCAAAAATGGCCACCAATAAAATGTCTGAATTCCAAATTCTCCAAGAGAAACAATGGCTTTAGCTCTCTATATAAAGAGATATAATCAATCCTTAAGCATTTACTGAGTGTCATCTATATGCTTATAGTCCCTACCCTCAAGAAGGTTCTAATTCAGTTGTGAAAACCAAATCGTAGTTGAAACAATAAGGGTACCAATTAAAGATGATGTAATCAGGTACTAAATAACATAGTTCAGGCTATGAGTTGCCACAAATGCAGAAAAAGGAGGCATAGATCAATAATGAATGAAGTTGTCAGAAAAAGCTTCAAAAACATAAAACTCTCCAAATAAAAGGAAGGTCATGCCCAGTGAAGGAACAGGCTGGAAGGTAAGAATAGGAAAATGCAATGTTGATGAGAAGGCAGCATGCATCCTATGGAGTAGAGAGCTGGTATTAGAGGAGATAAATGAAAAGGATGAGCTCTTTGAGGGAAAGAGTGAAATATAGGAGAGAAATAGGATGCAAGTTTTCTAAGAAATAACTCATACATTTCTGAAGATAGCAGGAGAAGAGCTCAGCTGATGATGTAGGAGTGAGGGGTGGAGACCTAGCAGAGCAAAATTCCTCAGGAGATGGAAAAGTTAGAATTCAATAAATACAGGTAGATAGGACTAGGCTTAGAGAGTAAGGATCAAAAGAAAATTCAAGAAAGAGCCAAGATTTTTTAACAAAGTAATTAAATGTCAACACTTCCACTCAGGAAAATTTCTAAGAATCGAACACTTCCATACAATGACAAATGTGCCACACCATTTAAAAACCTTTAATAGGTTCCTACTATTTAAAACATAAAGTCCAGGGACTTCCCTGGTGCTGCAGTGGTTAAGAATCCACCTGCCAATGCAGGGGACACAGGTTCGAGCCCTGGTCCGAGAAGATACCACATGCCGTAGAGCAACTAAGCCCGTGCGCCACAACTACTGAAGCCCACACGCCTAGAGCCTGTGCTCCACAACGAGAAGCCACCGCAACGCACCGCATTGAAGAGTAGCCCCTGCTCACAACTAGAGAAAACCCGTGTGCAAAGACCCAACACAGCCAAAATAAATACATAAACTTTTTATGTACGTATGTATGAATTTTTTTTAAAAGTCCAAACTCCTTAGCCTTACATTCAGTAATCTGACCCCAAACTACTTTCCCAGCTTTATCTCCTACTGTGTCCATTCATTGGAACACAGTCCTCCAGCCTAGCCAGCCTGCTCCTTGCCACCAAGCAGATTCTATCTTTGCCCTCCTGTCTACCACATTCCATCTGCACAACTCCCAAAGTTAAAAAACAAAATGAAAACAACTGGGCTACCTGGCAGAGGAAGGCAAAAATGAGTAAGATGTAAGTACCCAAAATCAGGGAGCTTATGGTCATAAGACTATCTTAATCCTACCTAGGCATCAAGGTTCAGCTCATATTCAGGACCATAATATCTTTATATATCTCTTTGTAAACTCCAATGTCTAGTGTAGTGCCTGAAATACAGGAAATGCTAATAACAAGTGTTGTGCTGTTCCTTCTAAGTATAAATGCACTTTCAAATGAAAAACAATTTGTTCCTCCCTGGCTATGAAACAGGGAAGAACAATTTAAGAAACTCATGGGGCTTCCCTGGTGATCTAGTGGTTAAGACTCCATGCTCCCAGTGCAGGGGGCCTGCAGCACGCGGGAACTAGATCCCGCATACTGCAACTAGGAGCCCGTATGCCGCAACTAAGACCAGCACGGGGGGGGGGAGGGAGTGAGGAGGTGGGGGGGGAGGGAGGTGGGGGAGGGAGGGGGACTTAGGGCTCTGCTTATACTGTTACCAGTTCCAATCATTTCTTTACCTCGTCTGGTCTTATTCCTTCTTCATTACAGGCAATAATGCCTATAGTAAATATTAAAGTATTTGAATATATTTATAGCAAGTTAGAACTTTATGCATCCTATAATTCTCAACTATTATTTTCATATATGCACAATGACAGTCAAGACACTGGGTTTTACTAAAGCTAACAAATTATTATCCTCCAAAGGGAGGTAAAAACAGTACTGTTCATGAATTTGATAAACTTCCCTGGAATCAGATTCTATAAGGCTTTACCTCTACATACATAAACACAACCCTCCATGTACCCTCTATTTACTACTGTTACATATTCAACATTATTCACACTGTCCTTATTGTCAGCTATCTACATCTCATAAGTAATAGTAATTACGCGATTTTTTAGAAGCAAGACATTCCTTCTTCAAATCATTTCTCTGTAAAGAGAGATCCTAATGGCACATACTATATAACCTATCCCATTCCATGTTTAGATTCCACAAAAACCTACAGATAAGAGAAAGTTTAGGTCTTTATGAGACCAAATGAAAGAAGAGCAGTGAGATGCAAAAAGCAGGAATTCCCTGGACATTTATATGCCTATTAAAAATAATACCTCCACAGATGATGAGTGTCCAATTAAATCTCCAATAAGCTCTAGTGAACATGAAGTGGCATTTTCTTGTTTTTTAACAGGGTGGCTGGCTTGTTTATTTACTCTTCCAAATCCCCACATGTTAAAAAAACCTAGAAAAATACAGCCATTTCAGTCATTTTCGAAATTACTGTGCTCTTTTCTTATAATAATAATCTAAGATCAGAAAAATAAAACTTAAATGCAAAAAGCGTTCTCCATTTATTTTAGTCAAGGGCTAAGTGAGCGGATGGTACCAGGTACTATGCTAGAATTTTTTAAATATGTTACTTTGTTTCCTCTTAGCTACCCAGGTTTGTTGCTCATCTCTTTTTATTGTCCCTACTCACGCACTGGTGAAGGTGTGTTAATGTGAGGAAAAGGCAATGGGAATCAAAGAGGAGAGAAATGAAAGGCCTGAATGGCAATGAGGTGGGGCGGGGGTGGGGGAGGTCACAACTCAGATTTATCAATAAAGGGTAGGCAAAAAGCAACATAGGGATGTCCCAGAGCAATGCCCTATGACTTCAAATAACCAGAAGAAATTCCAGGGGTACCAGCATCTGATTTCTTATGCAAAGGCTGCTAACTAACAGGGATTTTGTTTTTCAAATCAAACACCTGAAAATCAAAGAGTTCATGAGATGATATAAATACAAAAATGTTTATAAATAAATTGACTTCTATGTTAATGATAATGCTTTAAGGCTGAAAGAACTTCGACACCTGATGATACAAATTCTGTCTGTATACCAGACATAATTACAGACAATATAAATGAGTAAATAGTTCATTAGGCCATTTAGTCAGTCAGATTACCAGGAATAATAGTTTCCCCTCAGAACAAAAAAAATCCTAGTTGACTTGAACTGAAATAAACAGGTAGTTCTACAGTAAAGCAATATTTAAATGTGAATCCTAGATCCCAATTACCAAATGCTTCATGTAAACATCTGATGCTTCTTTGGAGCACACTGTATATTATTTTGTGGTTACATACCACTGCCTTTCTTCTGTCTTGCATATGAGAAAAAAAAAAAAGCAAGACTACCTTTTTGAGAAAAGATACTCACCTGTTGGTACAGGTTCAGCTGCAAGCTGCTGTTTTTCTCGTAACTCCCAAATGCGTACACTTCCATCTTCTGAGCATGAGATTAACTGCCTGTCAGAAGAGAAAATCAGTGATAAAAAGAGCACCATGGAAGGCCTATGCTAAATTTGCAGTGAAAGAAATCAGTGGAGCCCGCAACTGCTTTTATTCAGCTCTTGGCAGGAGCCAATAAAAATCACAATTTATCAATATGGCTTTACAATGCAAAGTAAAAGCACTCCTCAAGAAAGGCACACATTATACTGTTACATTGGTTCAAATGTTATAAATATGTATCATTTCCATTTTTAAAAATGCATTCAGGAAACAGGTTACGAATTACAGTTTCACAATATCCTGAGAAGTCTCATTCCTTCCTCTCACTGTATCTCTTCTCAGGGCGCCTCTCACTCTAAAAGTATCCTGCATAGAAAATAATTCTATTTCCTTCATATAATTCATCCCTAGAAACTCAACAGCCAAATCTACCCTGAGGGGAAAGCCCTCAGTTGGTAGCCTTAGCCAACAGGAGACTACCATTTAATTGTAGCCGTAATCAAACACCACCACCAAAAAGGTGGGTTTGTGGAAAATACAAAAAGAAAAATTAGTACACAGTCAGTGCCCAAAAGTCTTTTATCTTTTAAAATAAATACCGAATTTTAAATTATCTCTTCTTATAATGAAATTCAATGTAATTCATTTGAACCTTGCTTCTTGTAGATTTCATAATATAATGCCACCAACTCTTCTGCTAAGATAGCCATGGGGTATTCTCCATTTCCAAAAGAACATAACAGGTCAAGCCACGGAGCCAGGTGACTTTGCCCCTTGAAAAATTACACTGGTGGCCCTGGGAACTATGCATTTCTTTCACCTGTTACAGAACTGACGGAAACTTGTACCTGTTTGGAAGTTTGGCAACGTGCAGGACATTGGAGTCATGTGCAGTTTTCTGGCAGGCAATCACACGCTTCATTTGAAGGTTATACACGTATAAACCCCTTCCAACTGCAACAAATACATTCTGGGGGGGGGAAGGGGGGAAGTTCAGTAATGGGCATAAAACTAGTACTTACCACTACCTGGTGTAATAGATTTCCAGGCCTGGTGTGAGATCAGAAAGCCACTGTTACCTTCCCTATTCCTAGCCTTCAGCCCAAATTATTGTACTGCCCTCTGAAATCCAAAAGTATCAAAGCACAAAGGAAAGCTCAGCATTTAGAAGGTGGAAGGACACAACTGCTAATACAGAGAAAGCTTTGTATATTATACCCCACAGCATCGCTTTCTTCCTCGTTGAAATGTGACAGAGAAAGGAGCTGTGGCTGACAGACTGGCCTGCAGTGGAGGTGGAGCTGCTGAGGTACAACCTAGGTTTTCATCCACATAATACTATATCCTTGGGAAAACTACTTAGCTTCCTTTGCCTGAAAAATGTGAGCAAAATTACTTGCACTCCACATCTTAAGCGTCACAAGACCTATAAAGGATACAAAAAAGCATATGCTATAGTGGCATATATACAGTGGCTTCACAAAAACATTTTTCCAAATGTAGTATTAGAAACACCTTTTTACTAAAGCACCTTTAATCTTTTGAAAGTACTTTCACCAATATTTACCTTACTTCAACCTCACAACATCTCATTAATGTAGGAAAAGCTATTTTCCAGAATAATAAGTCAAAATAAAAAAAGATTAATATCACACAAAAATTAAGACGTGAGAGTTCGATATTAGAATCCAGGTCATGTTACTCCAGTCCCTTACTCTTGCCTCATACCATACCACCTAGCTTCCAAAATTATTTTGCAAGTCACTAGACTTCTGGTAGCTCTTGTCTTAGAATCATTCATTCTTACTCAGTTGGTATGCCAGTAGAAAGACCTTTCAAAAATCCTTTTTTTTTTGCCTACCTGTTCTCACCGAAGAATACTTCTCATGCAGCCTCAAAGGCTACAACGCCAACTCAGACCTACAGTATCTCGACCAAAACATGCCCCCCAAGGCTTACCAGAGTTTAAATCTGGAATGATCCCCTTGACCCTCAGGATTGGTATTCTGCATGTAGCAATGCAAGCTGAAGACCAGTGCCATGAGCATTAATGAGAACAGCTAGCCAACTTGCTAAAATCTAGCGCCCTGGGTGACATTCAATGCAGAGAAAACTCAGAAACTAGTTATATGGACCAGGAAATCTGTGCAGAGTTTAAATGATTTATCCAAAGTCACAAAGAAAATTACCAACACAACTAGAGAATTAATAAGCTTTGGGGCAGCCTTTACTCAACAGAATCACTCTATCAATCACTTGTCATCAACAATGAATGGTCCCCCTGCAGAAAGAAAAAAACTCCGATAAAACAAAGAAAATTAGGGAAAAGTGAGTGCTTTATTAATGCTTTATTAAGCATTTATAGCAGTTAATAACACCAATAGAAAATTTTAAGATTAAAGAGTACAAAATGCAAAACTTTAAACACTTTTACGAAAGTGAGAAAAAGGTATCAAATTAAAAATATATACGGACTTCCCTGGTGGCACAGTGGTTAAGAATCCGCCTGCCAATACAGGGGACACAGGTTCGATCCCTGGTCTGGGAAGATCCCACATGCCGCGGAGCAACTAAGCCCGTGCGCCACAACTGCTGAGCCTGCACTCCAGAGCAGGCTGAGCCACAGCAACTGAGCCCGCACGCCTGGAGCCCGTGCTCGGCAACAAGAGAAGCCACCGCGATGAGAAGCCCGCGCACCACAACTGAAGAGTAGCCCCTGCTCGCCGCAACTAGAGAAAAGCCTGCACGCAACAAGAAGACCCAACACAGCCAAAACTAAATAAATAATTAATTTTTTAAAAAAGAAAGATACAAATATATATACATATAAAATTTTTAGGCCTACAGCTCTTAGAGATAGTTTCCATCTTTTCTGAGACTACTGTCTTTTATCATATTTACTTTTTTTAAAAAAAATAAAATTGGGATATAAAGAAACTTAATCTTTAGGTATAATAGTGTTCTTTAACCTATTCTTACCCTACTCTGTTTTAGTTTTGTTTTGTTTTTAAGGTAAGAGAGGTGCAAAGAAAGCCAAAACAAAAACAGAAAAACAGACCATGCTCTCCCTATCCAGAACACTATTACTGAATTTTTAAATAAAAATAACAAAACACATACAATTAGAAGATTTAAACAGTACAGGAAGGCACAAAATAAAGTGAGGTAAAAGCCTCCTCTAACCCCTCTCCTCAAAGTTTATAACACAAACATTTCTTGTGATTATATTTAGAAAAGGAACCCCCATTTTAAACATATTTTCTGAGCCCCTGAAGCTAAAAGAAGAGATGTTCAGATCAGAGCCAAGGTTCAGAAATCCATTGGTACTAATCTACTACTGCAAAAAAGGATGTAAAGTGCTTCAAGAGCATCACTGCCAAGGCCTAAAGGATTGAAGTCAATAATTCTCACACAATCATCTTGCCCCATGATGCCAGAAGACTAAAAGAAAGGCATTCCTGAAATTTTTAATTTCCTTTACTGCTCCAGGAAATGCACCAGAATCTTCAAAAGGATTCTTTCTCAGTGTTTCTTAGAACAATTTTAAGCATTATCCTCAAATCCTGTGGGAATATTTAATCCAACTCAAAATTTCAATAGGGTTTTTAAATCTGTGGCCATTTAATCACTTCCTTGCCTCAAAGATAAGAGCTAAGATTAACATTCTTTTTTAAAGCAAGTGATGCAATCTTTGAAAAATATCAAAACATTTTAGAGCACAACGTGAACACACGGAATGATAACTTTCTATAGGATCATGAGATTAAATTTTTAAAATTAGAAATGGTTTATTAAAAGAGACAAGATTATAGATATTTTTCTCAATTTTTTTTTTTTTTTTACCTCTTCATCCCATGTGAAATGATGAATAGAAACGTCATTTGGCTTCTGACAGAGTTTTATTTCTTGCTGAGTGTCCAGCTGTGGAGATGGGTCCCAGAAGTTGCGTTCACAGGCCTGCACAGTCCAGTCCAGGATATCCCAGATGATGAGCTCTCCAACATGGGAGCCAGTTACAAAACTCAAATCTAGGCAGAGTTCATAGATGTCTCATTATTGACCATTTACCTAAGCTAAACATAAAAATGAATGAACTGCCTAGTAGTATTGCTCTATAAAATCACAATGTTTAGAACAGTGAGGTAACTAGACAAGCCAAACAGGAAGATTATCAGAAATAGACTCAAGCTTACTTAGAAATTTAGTATGTGATAATGATTGCATTTCAATTCAGCGAAGAAAGAAATACCTCATGCTGGACTATTTGGTTAAGTATTTGGGGAATAAAAACAAAAGAACCTTACCTTGGATCATACATAGTGAAGAGAAGCTACACTTCTGTTTCTCCTTTACTCCCACACTCACCACATGCCTGACACCAGATGCGTGGGGTTTTCCCACACCAGGCAATTCTGCGACACCAGCTGAGTGTCCCTACAATTCAACTCAACTTTGACACTGTCTACCTGGAGATAGTGTCAGATCCCACAAGTTAAGGACTCAGTCCTGCAAGACTTCTCCCACTTCAGATACTAACTGCAAATCCAGGTTGTTACCTGTGTTTCTGACCAACTGGCTATAAATCGAAGAGTCCCACATCCCCTCATCAGGTTCAGTTAATTTGCTAGAATGGCTCACAGAACTCAGGAAAAGTTTACTTACTTTATTATACAAGGATACAGATGAACATCCAGATGGAGGAGATGCACAGGGCAAGGTATGTGGGAAGGATCACAGAGCACGCATGCCCTCTCTGAGCATGCTGCTCTCCCAGCACCTCCACGTGTTTGGCAACTCAGAAGCTCTCTGAACCCCGTACTGTTGGGATTTTTATGGAAACTTCATCACATAGGCATGATCGATGACTAACTCCACGTCCAGCCCCTCTCCCCTCTCTGGAGAATTGCCGCGGGGGTGGATGGCCAGTGGCCAAAAATTCTAAGCTTCTAATAATGGCTTGGTCTTTCTGGTGACCAGCCCCCATCCAGGAGCCCATCAAGAAAGAGTAGCCTCATTAGAACAAAAGACACTCCTATCACCCAGGAAATTCCAAGGAGCTCTGTCAGGAAATATTAGACCAAATATTAGAACAAAAGATGTTCCTTGTGCTCTTATCTCTTGGGCAATTACAAGAGTTTTAAGGAACTCTGTGCCAGGAACTGGGGGCAACGACCAATATATATATTTTCTGTTATTTCACATATACCAAAATAAGTTTCAAACAGATTAAAACATTAAAGGTATTTAAAGAACTGAGGAAAATAAAGGTGAATGTTTTATGAATATGGAGTGCTAAAAGACTTCTCAAGGAGACAGAGTGGAGGCTGGGGAAAGAGATATGAGTGAACACCTGCTTAGCACAAAATCATACTTTTTTTTTTTAAAGATTTTTTTGATGTGGACCATTTTTTAAGTTTTTATTGAATTTGTTACAAAATTGCTTCTGTTTTATGTTTTGGTTTTTTGGCCTCAAGGCATGTGGGTGGGATCTTAATCTCCCTGACCAGGGATCAAACCCACACCCCTTGCATTGGAAAGGGAAGTCTTAACCACTGGACCGCCAGGGAAGTCCCCCCAAATCATACATTTAAATGACAAAACTCTGGGAAAAGTCTGCAATTTAGATGTCGAAATAGGCTGATTATACTTGATACATAAGCACTTCTTAGAAATCACTAAGAACAAGATAAGCACTCCAGCAGAAAAATGGGCAAAGGACCTGAACTGGCAAAACAAGAAATACAAATGGCCAGTAAACATGTGAAAAGACGTTCAATTCCCTAATAACCAAAGACATCTAAAAGCAATGAGATACTATTTACTGACTTGCAAATCGGGAAAGATTATAAAACACGAAAACACCCGATGCCGGCAAAAGCATAAGGAATCAGCACACTCACGTACTATTCATGCCCTAGTATAAACTGGTGTAATCTTTGCAATCCTTGGTAATATACATCAAAACCTTAAAAAGTTGTAAACCCATTGATCTAACAATTCCACTTCTAGGAATTTATCCTGAGGAAAGTACATAAAAGACATATGTGACAAGGCTGTTACACATAGTATTAAAAATCTAAAGGTATCCAACTGGGGATCGAATAAATAAATAACATCCACGAAATGAAATAGTTATGCTGTTATTGAAAACTAAGTTGTAAAAGTATGTTATATTAATACAGAAATATATTCATGACATACTGTTACAAAAAGCACACCATATGTATACACATATACATACATATATACGCCCAGAAAAACACTTAGAAGGATATGAACCTGTACTTAATGCTGTATGGTAGGATGATTTTCATTTTCATTTTTACATTTTTATGTTTCTGTCTCCTCATACGTATTATTTGCACAATAACAAGTTTTTAAAACCTTTAATAAAAATGAAATTAGTGGGCCAACTAAGACAGTTGACAAATTATACATTTAATAGAAAATGTACAACTGCTGAGACTAAAAACTATCTTAAAGAAATGCAATTTATTTTAATTCCTTTATATTTAGGAGGAACAGAACAATGCACTGTGAGTCTAGAAACTCTAGTTTTAATTTTGGCTCTGCCTGTTACTAGCCATGTGGTTGGTCTTCAGAAAGTCATTTGATCTTTTTCTATCTTGGATTTCTCAGGCATTAAATGAAGATGATTGTAAAAATCAAGTTAAATAATGTGTAGCCATTTTAAAAAGACATCAAATGTTATCTTTGAGTCCCTGGTATTATTTTGAGCCCCTGGTATTATTCCATATTAATGGTATTAAAACATCCAGTTACTTGTAATTTAGGAATACATGGATGAGTAATTATGATTTACTATCCCATTTATCAAATAAACCAGCAGGACAGAAATCTCTAATAACTAGATGAACAATCTCATACAAATAAAGAATTACCAGCAATCATACAGGTAAATATTATTTTGTCTTGGTTCCAAGTCCAATTTCTATATAGTTTATTAACAGACTCTATAGAATTCTCTCTGTGAAGAATTAAGTTCATTTCTCATCTGTGGAGAGAAACAGGCTCCTAGTTCTAATAGTGGGAAAGTTAAGACAGTAGTAATATTTCCATGACCTTCTTTTCCATCCCTTTCCCTCCTCTTTCCAATCTCACTCAAACTACAAAAGAACCAGAGACGGTAACAAGTGAAGATCCTTCTAGATTCCAATTCTGCATGCGTCATTGCAATAGAGTTAACCTACTGAGACCACACAGCTGCCTGCTCTGATCTCCTCCAAGTGTCTGTAATTCATCTATGTAATAGCAAAGTACCTGAGCCCAGTTAGAATTTTTCACTAAAAATAAAATGCTGGCACTGACCTGAGTCAGTACAGTTTGCTATGTAAATTATCCCAAACTAGTTATTCAAAATGTTTCACACCAAACAACCTCGATGTGTTTTATATATAGGGATGGATTTTCATCCTATGCAATTATCAAAAGTCACTTAGTATGAACATCTCACCTGATACCTGTCTACCCATCCCTCAGAAGTACTAATACTTTGTGACTACCATACCATGCTGTCAGTACAAAACAAGAAAAGGAATAAAATAAAGAAGCAGCACCCAGAGCCTTTTGCTAGAAGAGATAAGGTTATCTTGTATGTCTGTCTTAGAAAATCTCTGCACAGGCATTCAGACCTCACTGGCAAACCTGGTATTCATTATCCACATTTGTAGGAGTTCTCTGTTGTACCATTCTAAGGTTGCCCTAGGGCCACCTCAATGAAAATGCACTTTTCCTGTGAGTTATAAACCCAGTAACTGGCCACATCTTTAATTGGTAATTGGTGGGGATAAAGAAGCAGGGCTGAAAGCGGAACTGGGACTTGTACAACATAATCATTTCAGGATTGCCAAAACCTGCAGCATGGCAGATGCGTCTATATACGAGGTAAGACTGTCACAATATCATTCTCAAATTTTACCAGACTACTTGTCCATATATGATTCTTAAATATGCTTTTGGCTTACTTATAGTCTGTAGTGTAATTTTATAATCATGGAATTTACAAACTAAAAAACACTAGGGGTTTTCTGTAATTTTTATTAACAATTTTTTTTTTTTTGCTTTAGCTTTCCATTTTCCTTCCCTTAAAAATCTGGCAAAGAAATACTTGAAGAAAGCTTTCTTGGTTAAACTGTTATAAGCTTCTCTGTACATCACACAGCAAAAGAAGTGCCATGAGGTTAAGGCTACCTCAGGAACATCCCATCACCTTCATTAAGGAAACATGCCAGGTCCTGGTACCAATGCTTCACTTCTAAAATGGGACAACTAGGCATGACCACTGTAATGGCCAAAACACTGCTGTGCTTTTCTCAACAGCTTTAGGGCCTTGGAGCTTCTCTGGCTCAGTGTCAGAGGGACTTCCAAATAAGAACTTGCCTTTTGTGCTGCCATCATGGCTAGAAGAAAAGGAGCCCCCAGAGAAAAATAAAGTGGTGCTCCTAATATTATTATTTCTATCATATAGACAATCTAGTCATCAGAAAGACTTGCAGCTGGGTTGAACAAGCAAATGGCTATTGGAGAGGAAAATTTTGGAACTGGAAGGGACATTCTCACTGATGTATCTGAAAATGTGACTGAACAGCATACAAATGGAGACTACACTTAGTGCTGTCTGTTCCCCTTTCCCTCTGCCTCATGTTTCTACAAAGTATTGCTCAAAAACAGCCAACCCAGATCTCAGATCAGGGGGTGCAGTCCAGTCCCCTTACAACATCATATTCATGGCATCCTTACAGGACCCTCTTATAGTGTCCTCCAGACTATCAAACTGAAGCCACCCAGGAGTCCTCCCATCTGACCTCAGAACACAGATCACCCAGGAAAGCTCTGATGATATAAGGTGTCACTTTATTTGAAAGGGAAGTAGCTAAATCCCAGGATTTGTGGTTTGTGATCCTATCCTGTCATCTGATGTCAGGTTTGGCTCACAGGAGCTAACTCATTAAAATCATTATAAAGCCAAATAGAAAGTCTGGCAGGACTTCCCCGGCAGTCCAGCGGTTAGGACTGTGTGCTTCCACTGCAGTTCAATCCCTGGTCGGGGAACTAAGATCCCACGTGCCATGCGGCCAAAAAGTAAAAAAAAAACAAAAAAACAACCAACACACACATCCATGAGGAAGGGCACATATGACCCATTTTCTGCAGACCTTTAGTTTGGTGTTATTCTCTGACTCTTCAATCATAATTACAACTGGCTTGAATCCAGCTCATTCTACTGTAAGTAGAGTGCTATATAATTTGTACTGTGTGATCTTCAAAAGAGAAACTAGCCAAGACCATTTGGCAAAAAAGTCAAAATGTTGGGCTTCCCTAGTAGCGCAGTGGTTGAAAGTCCGCCTGCCGATGCAGGGGACACGGGGTTCATGCCCCGGTCCGGGAAGATCCCACATGCCGCGGGGCGGCTGGGCCTGTGAGCCATGGCCACTGAGCCTGTGTGTCCGGAGCCTGTGTTCCGCAACGGGAGAGGCCACAGCAGTGAGAGGCCCGCGTACCACAAAAAAAAAAAAAAAAAAAGTCAAAATGCTACCAAGCATTAGTACTGATAGCCTACAACAATCATCCCACAGCTACCAAGCAGCACCTGAGGTAAGTATGCTCTCTCCTCCGTCATCCCTTTTCTCTACCCAACTCTATTCTTCCCCTTGTGCCTAAATCTAAGACCTAACAATCTATGAAACTTGATGAATTCCACTGGTTTAAACCTCAGAAAATAAAAGACTGCCAATCCCTACTAATTAATAGCATTATTTTCATCATGGTAATTCCAGAATTCTAGAACAAAACAAGACTAAAGTTCAAAACAGGTTAAAAAGTTAAAAAATTTTTACATAATATCAACATGTACACAATGAGCTTACCATTGACATTAACCAGTGAGAGAATATTATCCTGGTGATCAAGGAGGCGCTTAACTTGAAGAATATCCCATCCTAGTGATCCCTCTGTGGGTGCTACCAGCCTGAAAATTACTAAATGAAAAGACAGATATAATTTTATTAAAATGGTCAAAGATTAAAGTTATATTTCTGCTCAAAAAGCTAGCATTTCATTAAGTGAGAAATACCTAAAATACTGAAAAACCCATCTCCAAAGACAGCCTTGCTCATACTACTTTAAAATATTTCTTTCAAATGCTTGAGATGTTTGAAATGATCTACTAAAATCCCAAGTGAGTGTGTCCTCAGAGCTCTGTTCCTTTATTAAAACTCTTCTAAACCCACTACCAACCGTGAAGCCTCTGAACAAAAAAATGCAAAGTACAAAAGATAATGTGAAACTGCTCAGTGAGTCCATAAATATAGTCTCTATAGACAAGTATTCACAAGGGTCACATATGTAATAACTTCGAGGAAATAAAACAAATATGAATTAGATCAGAAGATAAAAGAGAAGCAATAGGGCTTCCCTGGTGGCGCAGTGGTTCAGAGTCCGCCTGCCGATGCAGGGGACGCGGGCTCATGCCCCGATCCGGGAAGATCCCACATGCCGCGAAGCAGCTGGGCCCGTGAGCCATGGCCGCTGAGCCTGCGCGTCTGGAGCCTGTGCTCCGCAACGGGAGAGGCCACAACAGTGAGAGGCCCGCGTACCACAAAAAAAAAAAAAAAAAAAAAAAAAAAGAAAGAGAAGCAATAGTCAATTCTAAAAAAGGATTAATAGAAAAATCCTGGACTTCTGAACCAGGATGAGTACTCAGAGCTGATAGCCTTGCTTAGCTATTGATAATAAAAGCCTCAAAGTCACTGCAGCTAGTGCACACAGAAATTCTATTTCCTGTTGAGAGGAACCCTCACATTAGAAAAAGAGAAATTGGTATGGAACATTTAAAACCAAGTACATGGGCACAAGCTTAGTCTTAGAAATAGAAAAGATAGTACATTTAAAGGAATAAAACTTATTTTTATAAGGAAAAATGGCACGACATATTTATTTTATAAGACTAAGTAAAATGCAGAACCTCGTTTTTAAGAATATTTGTATTTTTTATAAATTATTTTCTGAATAAAATCAACTTTCATTTCTTCCTTTTTTTTAGCTAATATTCTAACTTCCGTTGAGGCATTAGTGTTGCTTTTATTACTATTTCAATGAATTCACTAATTCATTCAATAAAAATCTCTTATTTTAGAAATTAGCCAGATCGAAGAGGACAATAAGTAGGAGGACAAGTCCAATACACGGTGACGACAGAAATGAAGGCATAGAGGTTGGGGAATCCCAGGCAATTCAGTGTTAACAAGCAAGTGATACAGGACTCAAAGGAAGCAGGAGGGAAATAATGGAGGGCATGATTTGATATGTTGAAAAATTTGGACTTGTAGGCTACTCGTGTCCTTACATTGGTCCCTAGGGCAAAGATTTCTTTCATCTGGAGCAAAAATGAGAAAAAATAAGGACTACATAAGTTTTTTTTTATAAAACTAAATGTATTCAATTTAAAGTCCTATTCTTTTTTTCTGAGATCATGTTGTTCATATTTTGTTGTTTAAAACTTATTTTTATAAAATCAGGGTGGTAAATGGTAGTTTGGTTTCTGGTTTGGGATTTTTAATGTTTTCACTAAACAAAATAAAAACTGGCAACTCTATGTTGATCTCCACAAGTTTGACCTTTTGTAGTAATCAGAAATTTGAGAGTTCAGAAACTGATGTAGGCAATCGGAAGCCACTGAAGCTTTGAAGCTTGCATTTTTTTTAAATTAATTTTTACTGGAGTATAGTTGTTTTACAATGTTGTTTTAGTTTCTGCTATACAGCACAGTGAAACAACTATACGTATACATATACCCCTTTTTTGGATTTCCTTCCCATTTAGGTCACCACAGAGCTGAGTAGAGTTCCCTGTGCTACACAGTAGGTTCTCATTAGTTATCTACTTTATACATAGCATCAATAGTGTACATATTTCAATCCCAATCTCCTAATTCATTCCCCGCCCCCTGCTCCGTATACATACATCCATTCTCTACCTCTGTGTCTCTATTCCTGCTTTGCAAATAAGTGCATCTGTATCATCTTGAAGGCTGCATTTTAGATAGATCCCTCTAGCATCTACTAGAAAATGTATCTGGGAAGCACTAAACTAGAGGAGAAGGCATTTGAGAAGCAGTAGAGGAAGGAAGACAAGTTAGGGGACTATCACAACAGAGCAGGCAAAAGAGGAGATGAGTACCTGAATAGAGCAACAGTACTGAGATGGAAAGAAGTGGATCAAAATATTTACAGCAGCCATCCTCAAAGTATGGTCCCAGACCAGCAACCTCAGCACTACCAGAGAACCTGTTAGAATGCAGAAGCTCAGGCCCCACTCCAGAATTAGTGAATTAGGAACTCTGGGAGTAAGGCCCAGTAATCTGTGTTTTTAACAAGTCCTCAAGTCATTCTCACGCACACTAAAATGTAAGAGCCACTGAGTTAGAGTAAAACCAGCAAAACACAAGTGATTGACACAGAGGAAAAAGGCAGGGAAAAGCTAGACGTCTTTCCAGGTCAATAAAGAACATGGGAAAACTGAATTTCTGCAAGGAAGGAAAAAGAAAAAAAAACTAAACACAGAATTATATCTTTAGAAATTACTTTATGAAAAGAAAGAATAAGCATAGGGTCTAGAAAATTACTTCTCAGACATGATTACACACAGAAAGTTCAGTTGAAGAAAGAGAAATGTGACTGCAAAGCAGTGGAGCCTGCAGACAACAGTTTATAAATGGTGAACAATTAACTCATGGCTCACTGGTATCTGCAAACATGCCAACTGATGGTCATAGCAAATCTCAAGGCTGGTCTCTAGAAGCAGCAGCACAAGTAATAGCAAATGCCCTCTGGGCTACAAAAATTCTTCAAGAAAAAAGCAGCTTTTAAGAAGTGTGCTTACTCTATCACTTCTCAGCACCCAAATTTCATCCATAAAGTAATGAACATAGAAGGTTTTTTTTTACTGCAGGCTCCTGTCAGTAAATGAGTTAGCCAACCGTCAACAGCTAAGAAAGTGTCCTTCAAACTGCATGTTTATAATCAGTTAATACATTTACAAAATTCCTGTTGCTATCCCTCCTTCTGCTGTCCCACTAGTCTGAGGGAAATGGCATAAACTCCCCCACAAGAAAATGGGCCCCATTCTGGCTTCCTGAGGCAAAACCTCCACAGTTCCTATCTTAGTGAACTCCCCAAATAATCCTCCTCCAACACTCCCAACTCAAGCTTTCAGTTTCCAGAATGTTGATAGTTGTTTTATGTGGCTAAAGTTTTTGCTAAGTAAGTGTATGAGTGTGGATCAGCAACAGAGAGGACTGTGGAAATGTAAATGGCCTTCTCTAGCATCAGAGGAGTGGGGTTACCTTGCCCACTTGGCTATGCTAGACCAAGTGTGGTAAAAAACTGACCTAAGATCTTGAAAATGTCTTGGGCTCCACATCACTTTGACAATCCCAGGAGGCCAAGACTGGGACGGGAAAGATGTCCCTTGAATTAGTCTTTCTGAAATGTGTATACAAGGCTAGTTTAAAATTTTTAAAAAGAAGAAATAAAAGAAAAAAAGTCATACTCACTCAGTTCTTTGCCAACTGCTGCCACAACACAGTTCTTAGGTATTTCAATCAAAGCACTGATCCCTTCACAAAAACATATAAAACGAAGGTTAAATTATTTTCTTCATGGATTACATCAAAAACAAAAACATTCTCAGATTTATGTTGGTCATTCCTATAAAGGGGATGGTAACTATAAAGCACACACAATTTGCTACATCACACTTCCGTGCTTGCTTACATATGGAAAATGATTTTGTGAAAAGTAGGTGAGACCTCTGGAAGACATTATTGATTTCTTAAGAGTAGGAAATGCTCTTTGAATATTTTTACTATTGTGGTGAACATATTTACCAGGGACCCCTTAAGATAATCATCATCACCATTTACAAGATGGCTAGCTCAAATGAGATATAAAATTGGCATGCTCCTCAATGTAAATTTAAGAAGCCTGGGTGGGCTCCCTGGCAGTAAGTGAGTGAGCCAACCGTCAACAGCTAGGAAAGTGGCCTTCAAATAATACGTTTATAATCAATCAACACATTTACAAAACTCCTTGTATTACTAGAATAATCAGATTCAACATTCCATCACATTTCATTTATTAAGCATACAATTCTAAGTATCTTTTTATAGCTGAATCATGAAATGATTTTAGGGTAACCATAACTTCTGTAAGATATGTTACGTTACTTTCTATAAAATATGTTACATTACTTCTGTCAGCAAAAAATATTCATGCATTAGATTTAGAACCACCACATGTGTTGGCAAAAAACCCTGTTTATTAAAAGTTCACTTCTCCATTATAAAATGTATGTAATTTTATATATATGTAATTTATAACATATACACAAATTTGGAAAGTATTCTACTCATTTACTTTACCTTCCCACTTGGGGAGTATTTCTGGCCAAAATCTTTTCTCCACATACTGTTTTAACAGTATATTTCTATTTTCCCATGTTTAAGACGGGGGGATGATGGTGGTGGAGGAGAAAGGGGAGGAGGAGTGGTACAAGAAGCAGAAGAGATAGGAGAGCAGGGGAAGGGGTAGCAGAGGAGAATTCCAGATGCAGAAAACAGCTTGTTTAAAAAAATGTTTATTAAATTATTTATGAAATAAAAATACTAGAAACTCATTAACCCAGAAGTAGCAACTTAATACACAGAATCACAGAACATATTGCTGGAAAGGGCATGGATGTCCTGTTTTCTAGTCCAAGCCTCCTTCCATTGCATCAGACTGACTAAGATTATCTTTGCTTATTTCCAAATATGTAATAACTGTTCTAAAAGCCCTGCCAGTCCATAAATCAAGCAAGGCTTATTGAAAGGAGCTTTATAAGATAAGGGTCTAAGAGTACTGCTAAATCCAAATCATGAAAAGCTCACCAATGGCAACCTAAGGCCTTTTCAAAGCTTTCTAACTGATTTCCTCAAAGATTTCTGCTATATCTTGAAACACTGATAAACAGGGCAAACTGTGACTACTTAATGTACAGTACTCAAAGATAACTCGTAACAAGAATGGGGACTGCAATAATAGGTGGTTATTTCCATTAACATACAAAAGGTGTTTTTAGCCCTGATTTCAATATTTCACAACATAATTACTAATAATTCATGAAATAAAAATTCACAGATACCCACAGGCTAGTATAAGAAATAGGAAGGAAAATGTATATGTAAATAAAGAGATATAACTCATGATAATAGTAAACACGAAAATACACTCTAGATCCAAACAAAATTACTAGTGATTGAACACTGAATTGAGAAGTTAAACTGTAAATCCTAGTAAGGTATGGATTTAGTTTTGCTAAGACATCATATTATTTTTCTGGTATTTTATAATACCCATGTGGAGATAAACTAGTTCCAATAATGAAGTGTAAATGCAACTCAAATGAAGTGTAAATGAAGTTTAATAACACAGGCATACCTTGGAGATATTTCAGGTTTGGTTCCTGACCACCAAAATCAAGCAATTCTCACAATAAAGCAAGTCACACAAATTTTTTGGTTTCCCAGTGCACATAAAAGTTATGTTTACACTATACTGTCATCTATTAAATGTGCAAAAGTATTATGTCTAGAAGACAATGTACATATTAGTACCTTAATTTAAAAATACTTCATTGCTAAAAAAATACTAACCACTGTCTGAGCCTTCAGCCAATCATAATCTTTTTGCTGGTGGAGGGTTTGAAATATTGCAAGAATTACCAAAATGTGACAGAAACACAAAGTGAACAAATGCTGTTGGAAAAATGGTGCCAATAGACCTGCATGACTCAGAGCTGTCACAAACATTCAATTTGTAAAAAATGCAGTATCTACAAAGCCCAATAAAGCAAAGTGCAATAAAACAGGGTATGCCTGTATTCTTTCTAGGATGTCCATGGGTTCATTTCACTACTTTTAGAAACAAAAATAGTTAATAGTGTATCACATGACTTCAAGGTTACTGTCATTTAAATTTACTCATTTATACTTAAATATTTTTACTCTGAATAAATTTTTATTTTTTAAGTTCCTTGATATCAATATAAGTCAAAACTGATTTTTCTTCTATTAAAACGAAAAGTATATGTCAACAGAATTCTGAGAAAATAGAATTTTGTTAGTAAGTTTGCACGTGAGTGAAGTTTCTTTAGTAAAACCAACTGTAAAATGAGGTCATCCTTAGGAATCTATTCAAAGTCTGATAACCCTACAAATAAAGAAAGAAAATGCTATTGTAAAGTCATAAAGATCTGCTTCCAGGTGTCAACATGCTCATCAAACTCAGTTTAAGACATGGCCCAGAAGCATATATGAAAAGGTTTTTCTTGATCACTTTTGAGAAATTCTGTTAGAAAGGAAGGGGAAGCCAAAGGAAGGGGGATCTTTTCCTTCCAACTTGAGATGGAAATATATTTTACACAACCCTTAACCTGAATTGGAGAAATACGGCTACATCTTATATTCAGAATTAAAAAGAAAATCTATATTTCCTTTGTATTCATGGAAAGTCTCTTTGAAGATTCACTGTGTCTTTTTAGAGTCTATCATGGTTCACAATTACCTTGATTTGTTTTTACCTGTATCAGAAAGGTGACTAGTCTTACACAGGAGATCTAATTTTCGGTTCCACACACAGAGGTCATTCCCACCAGAAAGCCAAACATCTAGTCTCTGAAGAAGAGCTAAACACTGCAAAATTCATGTGAAATAGTTATCAGTTTAGAAATTCAAGCATTCATCAGTGGTTTTAAAATATGTCCACAAGTTGATACCCTTTCCCTTCAAGAGGTGGAGCTTGATTCTCTTCCCCTTGAATGTGGGCTCTGCTAAGTCACTAGCTTCCAATGAACAGAATGAGGCAGAAGGAATGGTGTGTGACTTAAAGGACTAAGTCATAAAAGACATGGTGGCTACCTCCTTGCTCTCTCAGATCACTCACTCTACAGTTCTGAAAACACGCAAGCAGCCGCATGGAGAAGGATCCATCTTTTTTTTTTTTTTTTAATTGTGGCTGGCATCTTTTTTTTACCCTCAAGGAAGTGAGGCAAGGAAGTGAGGCCTCTGGACACCAACCAACACTAACTCACCTAGCATCTGACCCCCTAACACCTCCAACCCCAGTCACCTGAAGGTGACAGCAACCTCAGGAGAGACACTGAGACAGAACCATCCAGCTAAACTGCTCTCTATTCCTGACCACCAACACTGAGATATTGTTTTAAACAACTAAGTTTTGAGGTAATTTGTTACTCAGTAATAGACAACTAATACACAAGCTTAATGTAAACTGCTTTTTAAATAAAACTGAAAATATGACCTTAGTTTTTATGTATCTTTCCAATTCAAACCTCCTAATTCTTGACTCAGGAAATTATTTCAAGGTTGGTAGAAGTCCTTTACCTTTAATAGTACTTTAAAGTCCACACCTTTCATAGTTCTCTCCCCACCCATTAACTCTGAGTGAACACAAGGGCAAGAGAGAATATGTATTAAGAAAAAAAAAAAAAAAAAAGGAAAAGGTTCTGGTAATCTTCCCTGGGCTGAGGATGGGGTTGCTTTTTAAACTGCTGGAATAAAAAGGGTTGAAAATAATCAGTGCAGTTTGTACTTCAAGACGTCCTACTGTGTCTAATCTCTGATTTTTTAATATCAGTACTATATTCCTTTTCATTGCCAAATAATATTCCACTGTATGGTTATACACATTTTATCCATTCATCAGTTCATTGACATTTAAGTTGTTTCCACCATTAGGCTAGTATGAGTAATGCTGTTATGAACATTCATGTACATGTTTTTGTGTGGACATTTTTATTTCTCTTGGGAATACCTAGGAGTGAGATTGCTGGGTCAAATGACTCTATTTAACATTTTGATGAACTATCAAACTATTTACCAAGGTGGCTGTACCATTGTACAGTCCCTCCAACAATGTAAGAGGGTTCTAATTTCTCCACATCTTTACCAGTATTTGTTATTATCTGTCTTTTAGATATTAGCCACCTAGTGCATGTGAAATAGTGTCACATTATGTTTTGAACTGCATTTCTCTAATGACTAATATGTTGAGCTTCTTTTCATGTGCTTATTGGCCATTTGCTCACCTTCTTCAGAGAAATGTCTTTCAAATTCTTTGTTTTTAATTGGGTTGTCTTTTTTATTGTTAATTTGTAAGAGCTCTTTTTATATAATCAAGATACAAGTTCCTTATCAGATATATGATTTGCAAGTATTTTCTCCCATCCTATTGGTTGTCTTTTCACTTTCTTCATGGTATCCTTTGAGGTATAAAAGCTTTTCATTTTGATGAAGTCCAATTTATCATTTTTTTCTTTTGTTGCTATACTTTTGCTATCACATCTAGGACACAAAGGCGACACTTTGTATCACCCGAGGACACAAAGATTTACTCATATTCCTTCTAAGAGTTTTATAGTTTCAGCTCTTATATCTTGGTCTTTGACCCATTTTGAACTAATTTTTGGTTACAGCATGAGGTAGGGATCCAATTTCATTATTTTGTATGTAGATATCTAGATCCAGTATTAGTTGCTGAAGAGACTATTCTTTCTCTTATTGGAGGGTCTTGACACCCTTGTCAAAAATCTATTGACCACATATGTGAGGTTTTATTTCTGGACTCTCAGTTCTATTCCACTGATCTGTATGTCTACCTTTATGCCAGTACCACACTGTCTTGATTACTATAGCTTTGTAGTAAATTTTGAAATTTGTAAGTTTCAATCTTGAAACTTTGTTCTTTCTTTTCACAACTGTTTTAGCTATTCTGGGGTCCCCTTTACTTCTACATGAATTTTAGGATCAGCTTGTCAATTTCTGAGGGGAAAAAAGCCTGCTGAGATTCTGTCCAGTGTTGATCATTTGGGTAACGTTGCAATCTTAACAATATTAAATCTGATCCATGAATTTCTTTCCATTTATTCATATTTTCATTAGTTTCTTTCAACAATGTTTTGTAGTTTTTGGTATACAAGTCTCATAGCTCTTCTTTAAATTTATTTGTTTTATTTTTTGGATGCTATTGCAAATAAATTTTATTTCTGGAATGCTCATTGCTAGTTTAAAGAAATACAGTTAATTTTTTGTATATTGAGATTGTATTCTGAAATCTTGCTATATCCATTTATTAGTTCTAATAGTTTTGTTATGGATTTAGGATTATCTATATAGAAGAGCATGTCACTTGTGAATAGAAAGAGTTTTATTTCTTCATTTCTAATATGGATGCTTTTTTAAAATTAAATTTATTTATTTATTTATATCTATTTTTGGCTGCGTTGGGTCTTCGGGGCTGCGCGCAGGCTTTCTCTAGTTGTGGCAAGTGGGGGCTACTCTGTTGCGGTGCACGGGCTTCTCCTTGCAGTGGCTTCTCTTGTTGTGGAGCACAGGATCTAAGCACGTGGGCTTCAGTAACTGTGGCACTTGGGCTCAGTAGTTGTGGCTCGCAGGCTCTAGAGCACAGGCTCAGTAGTTGTGGCCCACGGGCTTAGTTGCTCTGCGGCATGTGGGATCTTCCCAGACTAGGGATCGAACCCATGTCCCCTGCATTGGCAGGCAGATTCTTAACCACTGCACCACCAGGGAAGTCCCTATGGATGATTTTTATTTCATTTTTATTGTCTAACTGCCCTGGGTCAGAACCTTCAGTGCAATGTTGAAGAGAAATGCCAAATGCAGACATCCTTGTCTTGTTCCTGAACTCAGGAGGAAAGTATTCAGTCAGTCTTTCACCATTAATATGATGTTAGATGCTGTGTTTCCCTAGATACCCTTTATCAGGTTGAGGAGGCTCTCATCTACTGCTAGTCTGTTGAGTATTTTATCATGAGAGGATGTTGGAGTCTGTCAAATGCTTTCTCTGCATCTATTGAGATGATCATGTTTTCCACCCTTTATTCTTACCGTGTATGGTATATTACATTGATTGATTTTTCAGATGTTAAACTAAACTCATATTCCTAGGATAAATCTCACTTGATGATGGTACATAATCCTTATTATATATTGTTGGATTTGGTTTGCTAGTGTTTTGTTGAGGATACTATACTGCTTTTGTTACTTAACATCTTATCATTAGCATTTTCCAAATGCTACGTGTTCTTCTGAAACCATTTTTAGCATATATGTCTACCATAATTTAACTATTTTCCTATAAGACATTTAGGATACTGTCAATCATCCATTTATAAAATATATTTGTAATATATATTTCTGTTCATAAATCGCTGCCCAAGTTTTTATCATTTCTTTAAAGAGTTTTCTAGGAGTAGAATCACTGGGTCAATTCATATAATAATTTTTTAAGATTCATTCATAAAGCCAACTGCCTTCCAGGAAGATCATTTTGATTATACTCTCAATGACAATAAAAATGCCAATTTCAGCACCTCCTTGCTAATATCATCTCTTATAAAGAAACTTTACTAGTTCAAAAAATAAATAATAGTATTTCGTATATTTATTAAGGATCTGAAATTCTCTGATAAACTATCAGTTCAAGAACAATTGAACCACTGAACTAAAATGAGTGAAATGCTGTATTTAACGATTTTTTTAAAATGTGAAACAGGATCACAGTGGGAATAAATACAACTATCTAGCTGATTAACAGTACAGTAAAACCCCTTTAAGAAGTACTTTCAAGGGAAAGGAGGCTGCTTATTAAAAAAAAAAGAGGAAGTCCTTTCACCATACCGAAATAAGATACTTTTTTTTGCAGTATGCGGGCCTCTCACTGCTGTGGCCTCTCCCATTGCGGAGCACAGGCTTCCCGAACCGGGGCACGAACCCACGACCCCTGCATCGGCAGGCGGACTCTCAACCACTGTGCCACCAGGGAAGCCCCGAAATAAGATACTTTTTATTGACCAGTTCATGAAACAGCTCACCAAAGGAATTTCCCCCAAATACACTAAATTTTTTCTCCTTCCCTGTTCCTTCAATGCATATATTTTCATTTGAATCCTAATTACCTCAGTCAAATAAGCAAGACTATTTTTTGAGGGATTTAATAGGAGCATCTTTTCACATAAAGCGTAGAGATTTTGATCAGGTCAATATTTTATTGACTTCTTCAAAGACGGTCCAGTGTAAAATTGGATACCAGTATATAGTAAATGGCACTTTCTTCCCCAGAAACTTTTCTAAATTGATAATCAGAATAGCATAGTAGCATAAGATGGCTACCAGAGATGCTGCCTTTTAGGATAAGGAATGAAATACTTTGACTATTGGCACACTGATTTTTTTTTTTACATTGGAAGTGTTAGCTCCAATACAGAGATCAATAATCTTCAAAGCAAATGAGGAAACACTATTTCAGTTTACTAGTATCCTTCCCCAAACTTGTTGACATTATTGAAAAACAGTGTACTTTCTGAGAACATTTAAGGTAATTTCTTCTACAGAAATCAATGTAGCCAAGTCTTATCCAAGTTTGTTTCTCCAACATGTAGCAGAGTTCCTATCAAGTAATAAGCTCCGATTAATATTTGTTTATAAAATGAATGAACCTAACAGTAGCAGCCAATTAGTCACAAAAGATTTTGTTCTGGAACTAAGTAATTGCTATATCTTACCCTTATCATTTTATAGAAGATAGATGGTGAGGGACAAATAACTCCATGTTTTAGTTCAAAGCTAAAACAAACAAACAAAAAAGAGACTAGCTATTGCTGTAGTCACTTTGAAAGTAATATCTCTTCCTAGAATTACCTACTAAAAACATACTAGGTACTACTACCTTTTTCCTTATCTTACTATAGAGATTCACCTCTTGCTCTAATTTAAAATTCAAAATTCTAGCATTTAATATATATACTCCCCAAAATCTAGTCTTAGAAGAATCAAATGACTGTGTAGGTGTGGAAGAAATAATTTTTGAAACTTACAAAAGTAATTTCAGCTAAATCATTAAACAATTTTTTCTGAAACAAAAAGATTATTACCGTAAAGTATCTGATTAAGATTTTACCTTAAAAAAAAAAAATTTTACCTTTACAGTAGACTGGAAGCATGACACTTTCTGAACTTGTCTGCCAGTATCACAGTCCCATACCTAAATTTATGTTAAGAAATAATTTCTCAGCAGAATTTTTAAACCTTAATTATAATTTTTCTAATAAATAAATCACAAATATTACACATTTACATAGAAAATATATAAAGCACGAAATATTTCATGTTTATACTACCACAAAAATCAATGCATCAACTTAGCATAGCAGGCTTATAATGTAAAATAAGTCTGAGGTAAATTTTGCTATCAAACCATTTGAAAATACCAACAGAATGAATGGTCTGAATACTGAATGTTTACAGGCATTAAATATTGCAACTATATAAAATTTAAGTTTTATTCTCCAAAACAGTCCACCGTAATCTAATAAACATTGAACATAAAATATTTATACTAAAAACTATCACATCCATTAATTAACATTTACTGAAAGCTCCTTCAATGTGCCTGGCATCATTTACTACTGTTATCTTGATTGAAAGAAGACAGTAACAGTGTATTCCTATTAACTATATACATATTTAAAATAATTACAGGACCTCTCATAAAATGTCCAAGGTTAGTTTGACCTAAGGAGCATAATGATTTTCAAATTTTTCATACCATTTCCTATGGTAAGATATACATATCATATCTGAGAACACATTTACATACAAATAAATATGTACATATATATGGACTCTTAAGACCATCACTTGACAAAGAAATAAAGTCTACCGTCAGCATTTAATTAATGAAGTTAGTTAACAGCAAAGACCCAAGCAGGGTAAATTTAGAATTCATATGAATAAAAGAAACTGCCAACAAAACAACCTGAAATTATTTTTAACAAAAAACGTCATTCAGCGAAGGAAATAACTCTATACTATCATTTACAGTTAAAGTTTATACTGATATTGTCCCAGCTACTCACGTCTGTACTGTAATAGTAATTTTAATAATTGGCTCTAAATAGTATCATAGTACCTTAGGAACAGTCTAATAAAAAGTATTTGATATTCTATTTTTGCAGAGATTATACTGATGCTGAAAACAAACCCAAAAAAGAGACCTTTAGTCCATAAAATAACACTTGCCTCAACAGAGCAACAGTAGTAAAGCTACTCTGACCTAAACATATGAGCGCATATTATGCCCCTGTTTATGCAATATTGTAATCACCATAAAGTATCATTTATCTCCACTTAAACCTTTTCTTCAAATTCTTTCACCTATTGGCAATCTGTCTAGAAATCACTTCAGCTGATGAGCTCATTTAAAGTGTGTCATAAACTATGTCTTGGTTCTACAGAAGCCTAAGAAACACCTATACCTTTGGACTTACTCCAAAACTTACTTCAGTAATGCTTGAAGCTATTTAAATAGAATTCTTAGATAAGCATAGACTTTTTAAAGCTGATCTATGATACCTTAAAAAAAAAGTAATGAAAGATTAGCTATCCATAGCATTTAGCTATGGCTTTCACAGACCCAATTCCACAAACAAATATAAAAGGGCTAAATTTATTTAAGAAAAATTTATTTATTTAAGAAAAATATTTTATGAAAGCAGTATTACATAGTGATTCAGAGCACTGACTCTGCAGGTCTGTTGCCTTCTGCCCTATACTGGCTGCATGACCTTGGGCAAGTTACTTAACCTCTCTGTGCCTTTCTTATTTATAAATGAAAATAATAGAAATACTTATTATAAGGATTAAATGAGTTAATAAATGTAAAATAGAACAATGCCTGGCACATATAAGCAATTTATAACACTTTATTATGGCTACTACATCTTAAATTTTCAACTGAAAGTATGGGGAGGAAAGATCATTTACATTTTTTAATTGTTTGAAAATACTAAATATGGGGCTTCCTGGTGGTGCAGTGGTTAAGAATCCGCCTGCCAATGCAGGAGACACGGATTTAATCACTGGTCCAGGAAGATCCCACATGCCGTGGAGCAACTAAGCCCGTGTGCCACAACTACTGAGCCTGCGCTCTAGAGCCCACAAGCCACAACTGCTGAAGCCCACGCACCTAGAGCCCATGCTCCGCAGCAAGAGAAGCCACAGCAATGAGAAGTCCACGCACCGCAACAAAGAGAAGCCCCCGCTCGCCGCAACTAGAGAAAGCCCGCGCGCAGCAACAAAGACCCAATGCAACCAAAAATAAATTAAATAATTTTTTTAAAAAAAGGCAAAGGAAACATAAATATTAAAAACAAAGGATCTGCCTGCCAATGCAGGGGACATGGGTTTGATCCCTGGTCTGGGAAAATCTCACATGCCGCAGAGCAGCTAAGCCTGTGTGCCACAACTACTGAGCCTGTTTGCTGCAACTACTGAAGCCCATGCACCTACAGCCCGTCCTCCACAGCAAGAGAAGCCACCGCAATGAGAAGCCCATGCACCACAACAAAGAGTAGCCCTGCTCACCACAACTAGAGAAAGCCTGCATGCGGCAACAAAGACCCAACTCAGCCAAAAATAAAAATAAAATAAAATACTACATATATTAAACGCTGAGCAGATGGTAATTCGCTTTTCTGCCAGACTCATATCCTCAAAAAGTTCTTATGGGTTGGGGCCATTAAGTTTCTTTTGCTGTACAATGAACAGAAAAAAAAATGTGAATTATTCTCCAGTTCAACTCATCTTTGTTTCTCTAAATTGAAAAGCAATCTGAGATGATAAATATTTTTAAGCCCACATTCTCCCATTTCCTGTTTTATGTAATTTGATATAATAGTAACTCTGAGAAAAACAGCTTTAGTTATGAAGTTTCCAACAACAATAAGCCTTAACTTGCAATTTCCAGTCTAATACTTTTCAGACGCCTAATACTTTTAAGTGTCTTATGAAGGCTAGAACAAAATCATTTTTGCTAAAACAGAATGTACAGACAGACCCCAGGAGGATAAAGACTAATAACATATGTACTGGTCCCTTGGATCACCGTAGCTATGTCACTTGGTTCTATAAGGATATAATAACTGTTCTGTCAGCAGAGGCTGTCAAGATCAGTTGATTTTTTTCTTCACAAGCTTCCAAAGAAGGAAATGTAATAATAGCTGTTATCTTTTGAGTGTGTCCATTGAGTTCCAAAAGTTTTTCTCCTGTCTGAAATATCAATAAAATGTTAATAGTACTTCATATTTCATAACTTAAATAATCTTAAATGACAACATTAAGAAAAATCACCAGGTAGAAAATATATACATTCCATCTGAAATTACTTAGATTTTATAATTTAACTTTAAACAATCAAATAGTATCTAAACATTAGGTGCTAAGAGAGTAGCTATAACTAATTTTAATTATTTTCTAATAGAAAATACTAATTTTTAGCAGATTGTTATAGGAAGTTTAAAGGAGTATTCTTTCCATATGGTTTTAAGATTATAACTGTAAATTAAGCATAAAAATATCAGTAACTTAATCAGCAGGAAAAAAATAAGGAGTCTTCATTATGCAAGCATCTGTTATCTAAGTCTCCACAGTTATAACGCTGTGGAAGAAAATAAAAGTCAGCATAACAGTAACAACAATTGGATATATATATCCAGTAATGTATCAACCACTCGTAAAGTCAGTATGGACTCTACTTCTCTCTAACATCAACAGCTATTCCCATCCATCCAATGTCTTCATCTATCAGTTTCTCACTGATTTCCCAAGTAGTAAACATACAAAAATGCAATGTAAATATAAGATAAATTGCAAATCTCTCCAAGGTTGCGGGATTTCATGATTCATGTGATGAACATAATGTTAAAAAAACTGCTTTAATCACAGGCAAAGCCACCGAAAAATGAGGATCTTGACTGAGTCAGACCAGATAACAACCCAAACAAGGGCAAGAAGATAAATGCTTCAAAAGAGAATAATTTGAGAATCCAAGGATAGGAAGAGAAGTCCTAGAGAAATTTGGTAAAGCCTTAAATATTTTTGAAAAAATAAACCTTTTATTATATTACTATTATAGTCAAACATGATAAGAATGCTATATTATACTATCAAACGATTCTGACAGAAAAATTGTCTTCCACAAAAGTCAACATCTGATTCATTTTCAGAATCAGTGCATAGTTGCTGATAACTTAAATTTTGTTTAAGATTAAAACTTTTATTTTCATAACCTAGCATTTGTTTATCAGGAAAAAATATTAAATAAAAAAACTCTATTATGGAACACTGGTCCTCATTTTAAATGCATTCATCCTAAGCAGCCCTTTCGAGCATTAACTAGTCTCAACCTACTGATATGCAGGTGTATCTCCAGATAATGTTTATGAATGCATACTCAACTATACAGTCATGTCTTTATTACACAATCCACATAGCAACAATACACACCTGGGCATTCCACACAACTACAATTCCATCATCACCAGCAGATGCAAATCTGGTTAGAGAAAAAAGGTCAAGAAAAGAAAAATCACTGATGACATTTAAGTGCTAAGATTACAAAGATACCATCAGACCTTATTAATGGTATTTTGACTTACTAATATCAATACAGATTAAGTTCTTTAAGCTAATTTAACAAATATTTACAGAATACCTTCTAAGTTTTGTGCCAGGTACTGAGAATCCAAAGATAAGTAAGACCATTCAGAAAGTTAAAATGAATAAACTGCTAGACTAAGAATAAGGGAGATCAATGATCTTTAAAGTCCTTCCTTGCTTTAAAATCATGATTAAACCCTGACTTAAGTGACATGAAACCAAGCTGAGGAAAAGCTACAGTGACAGGAAATGATATTCTAGGAGTGGAACAAAGGAATCATGTCCTTAGATTCCTTACTTTCTAGGTAAAGATATTTAAATATTTTAACTCTACTATTTAAAGCCAGTTTCTCTCCTTTGCTCCCCTCAGCTCTGTGGTCTTTCCACATAAGTACTGTGTTCTTTGGTTTGGAAGGTTTGGTTTTTGTTTTGTTTTGTTTTTGTCAGTGAAAATTCTTGAAATGAAAAGAGGTAAAGGTAAGTTTGCTTCATGGCAAGAAAAAAGAGCTGTGATGAACTAAATTATAGCTTCTCTCTCCTCTTTACCACCCATTCACTACATGTCAAGGAACAATCATCTATATTTTGTAGAGTAGAAGATAACCATGACACAAACACTATCAAGAAAAATCACTTGTACAGGATTATTCATCCATAGTGCCTGCATTATAATAAAATCAAACACTACTCTCAAGCAGTGTCCCAACACAGTGGTGTACAGCAATCACATTGTAAGCATGTCAAGTAATTTGTTATTAATAATGTAGTACACAAGTTTGTAAATGATTTTTTTTCATTGGAGTATATAGTTGCTTTACAATGTTTATTAGTTTCTGCAGTACAGCAAAGTGAATCAGTTAAACATATATCCACTCTTCTTTACATTCCCTTCCCATTTAGGTCACTGCAGAGCTGTAAATCATTCTTTAAGGAATCAAAATCAATTCAGTTGTTCCCATAATATCACTTTCATTCACTTGAATTCAAGGTTTGCTTTTCTGAATAGGAGAGAAAGAAGTGGTATTGTAGAGAGCCAGCTATGAACTGCATGCAGTTATGGTTAACAACCACTAATAAATGGTACTCTGTTAGCAGCTATGGCATTTAGAAAACGTGTTACTTCCTTGCAAGACTGTTAGTGTGTTTTCACAAAAATCTGGGCATGCCTTGAACAGCTTCATTAAAGTAATCATTGTTAAGCCTTACGTGTGTCATTAGGAGAAAAGCAGAGAAGTGATACATTAGGATACAAGAATTACTTTGTTCCTTAGAGTATGTGTTCTATTGAATTTTACCCTATAGATATCCATATAATCTCACTACTTCAGTCATGTAACACTTTCCTTAACACTCCAAACTGAGCTTCAAGTTCAAATTTCTCATGCTCAGTTTCAAAGCCTCACACATAGCTATTGTCTTCACTGGCTCTGACAATTCCCATACCCAGCACTCGTTTCAAAATCATTTGCTTACATTTTCTACTGCATGAGCTAAGAGATTATCCAGGAGATGGGAAACTGGCTGGCCTAATACAGTCTGACAAAGTCCGTTAGTAATTTTTTAATAAAGAGCTACGTATCTTTTAACAGAAAGGACCTTTAAAAGTCTTAGTTAACTAGACAGAAATCATATAAAGAATTATTTTAAAATCCATACCTAACATTTATTTTATTTTCAAAATGAAATATAAAAGATATAGAGACTAAAAAGAAAACAATCATTTTATATTTTAAAATGTAATTTCTTATGCTTAATTACATAGATTTTCTGAATCAAAACACTAAACAATGCCTTGAGTATCAAAAATAGCCACTGGATGTAAATCTTTAATAGCTTATGTTTCTAGGCCTATTGATTTCTTTTTATTTGTATCATGATGGTGGGCAGGGCAGAACTCAAGGTCTTAAGATTTCTTTGGTATAAAACATCAATTTCTATTGATTCTTGAAACTCTTATAATTGCTTTTCTCCCTTTTAGAAGAGTGCAGGTTTAAAATACATACTTTTTTCTAACCCTGATTGTTAACTTCTCATTATTGTTTTATCATGTCTGAATCTCATGACTTCACAATAAGAGATGACTGAACGGTTGAGAGTTTAGAAATGAGATACAGAGCATTTCACCTCAAACTTTAATTCAATCAGTGGTGAACAGAAGTTAAATCTAAACAACGCTCGATAGTAATGCATGAAATCACAGCCCTTTTTGTTTTTAATTGTTCAGAGGTCAATTACCCAGTGTGTATATTATTCAAGCTTTTCAATTCTCATATATTCTATTGTTTGGGTTTTGTTTTTTTTTTTTTGCCATTCCAGTATTTCTTATTACCTGCTCTAAAGAGGAAACATGAAGCTTTAAAATGTAAACCAGTATGACTCTGCTACATATTAGTACCAATCATAAACTAACTAATAAAAGGGTGGGAGATCATTTGCAAATTATCCATTCTCCTAGGATGAATAACTGAAAACTAGCAGCACTATATCAGTTTATCTTAATCAGTTTATCCTCATCAGTCAAGCACACACTCCAACCATCTCCAAATTTTCAGAAATGAAAATTCAACTCAAGAATCCCTAACAGTAAGATATACTGTAATTGATTAAAAGAAGTAATGAACCATAAAAAAGAAGGAATTAAGATATCAATAAGGTTTAATCTAGTCAATGGAAGGAAGAATAGTGGCTATACTGTCATATAATAATATACAAAAAAAACTTTTAAACACTCTAAATTAATAGAATCCAAAGATTCAAATCTAAAGATAAGATTTTAAGAGAAATCCTTCTTTACTGATTAACACAAAATGTAGTGAGATTTCATGTCATGTGTCAGGGAACTGCCAAGATCAATTACATGTTGTTCTTGCTTCAAGATCTTAAAACTTAGTGATTGTTTAGAAATGTACTATATTTCATCAAATATAAGACATACTATTATTTTATGTACTATTAAGGAAAAAATGATGTCAATTATTAATGAAAGACACCATCAATTATATGATGTATCCAAATTTTAAAGATGTTACAATAGGAAAATATAAGCTTTTTATAATCAATGAAATTTAGTAATTGTCGTATTTATTGATCTTTCTAATATGGCACTTTCTAGTCCAACAAATTTCTGATTATGTCTAGCAGGTTTAAAGGACTAAAGAAATGCTTTTTCAGTAAATAAATGAATAAGCAAACACTTAAGTGTTAAAAGGGCTCTGTAGGGCTTCCCTGGTGGCGCAGTGGCTGAGAGTCCACCTGCCGATGCACGGGACGCGTGTTTGTGCCCCGATCCGGGAAGATCCCACATGCGGCGGAGCGGCTAGGCCCGTGAGCCATGGCCGCTGAGCCTGCGCGTCCGGAGCCTGTGCTCCGCAACGGGAGAGGCAACAGCAGTGAGAGGCCCGCAAAAAAAAAAAAAAAAAAAAAAAAAAAAAAGGGCTCTGTAAAATAGATTAATAGTATTAATGTAACCTCACTTTCCCCTTTAATCATGACTAATACACCAACATACTGTCAAAACAAAACTAGAAATTCAAAATATGTAAAGCCTAGAATCTCACCACATACAAAAATAAAGTCCTTTTATTTTTTCATTTTCCTGTCTCATTCTTTTTTTTTATAAATTTATTTTATTTTATTTTTGGCTGTGTTGGGTCTCTGTTGCTGTGCACAGGCTTTCTCTAGTTGCGGTGAGCGGGGGCCACTCTTCGTTACGGTGCGTGGGCTTCTCATCGTGGTGGCTTCTCTTGTTGCGGAGCACGGGCTCTGGGCATGTGGGCTTCAGCAGTTGCGGCACACAGGCTCAGTAGTTGTGGCGCACGGGCTTACTTGCTCCACGGCATGTGGGATCTTCCCAGACCAGGGCTCGAACCCGTGTCCCCTGCATTGGCAGGTGGATTCTTAATCACTGCGCCACCAGGGAAGCCCCTCCTATCCCACTCTTATGCATAACCTTCAAGTTTTCTCAACTTGAAACCAACTCTTTAAAAATACTCATTGAGACTGTACATTTAATTTAGTGACATTTAATTAAACAACTAAGCAAAAACTATACGCATGAAAAAAGTTTAAAAACATGAAGTGTGATTTAATGAAGACCTATAGCAGAGCTTCTAGCATGTTCCATCCTCTCTTCCTCTCATTATGACAATTAATTGTGAGAGTCAATGATCCACTCATTCAAGAAATATTAAGCATTAACTATATATTAAGCATTAACTTTATATATCTATATGCTTGATCCTGAGGGTAAAGATCAATGAGATAGTTCTTGCCCTTGAAAAGCTCACAGTCTACATTACTATGCAATGCTACAGGGTCCAAATTATGAATCCATTGAGAATTCTCAGTTATACTCATTTCAATTTATAGAAATCATTTCCTTTAAACACCTTCCTTTGGACAGCTCAGAGAAAGCACTCTCATTCTTGCCAACTGTGGGCTTAAAGTACAGCAAAGGTTCACAAAGATTTGTATAAAATAGAATATTTCTACATGTAATTCCTATGTCCATTACCTACATGCTTATTTAATAGTCCTTATTCAAAAGAATTTATTTCAATTAAGTCAAAGGTGCTACAGATTCAAACATAACCTTAAAGGACATAAAAAAGATAATCCATAAGCCTGAACATAAACTTTCCTGTATTCAATATTTACATAACCATAAAGCACTGGAAAAATAATAGAGTATTATTATGGCAATACAGAAGTCCCTGTGGTTAACTAACTTCCCACCAAATCGACAAGTACTTTCTAATCATGATGCAACTAAAACAGTATACAGTTTTTACAATGTAGTAAAGTTGAAAAACTTCTACTAGAGAAAGTTCCTTGGCCTCTCTCTGTCCCACTGATGTAATGAATGAGTTTAAGAGAATGAACTGAGTATGCTCAGTT